TAGAGAATACACATTCTTCTAAAGTGCTCACACTATATTCACCAAGAAAAACCACATATTAGGTCCCAAAGAAAACATCATAACTTCTATAAAATAGAAATAGTACAAATAATACTTTCTAATCATAATGCAATAAAACTAGAATTTACTAACAAAAACAAACAAAAAACCAGAAAGGCCCTTTTCCACCTACAAATTTAAATTTGCCTATTAAACCATTCCTGGTATTCTGTAACTAAAATTATAGATTTTTAAAAAAATAATGGCAATGAAAGCACTACATATAAAATTTTGGGATATGATTTGAAGTGGCAATCAAAGGAAAATTCATTGTACTAAACATAAAAATGAAAGAATAAAAATCAATACATTTATTTTTTGTGGTAAAAATAACCTACAAAATAACAAGGTAAACAAAAAGGAAATAATAAAGATAAAAGTAAAGGAAGAGAATAGAAAACTAGATCTAAGTAATAATTCAAAATTCTGTAGTTTTTGAAAATATTAAAATAGATAAAGCACTATATCACTTGATTAAGAAAAAAATGGAAAAAACACAAATATACAAAATAAGAAACTGTAAGGGCGAAATAACCACTGAAATAGAAAAATAAATTTAAACCACAAGGGATTACTTTGCAGCCCTCTAATAAATCTGAAAATACACATGAAAGGGATAATTTGCTGGAAAAATACAAATTACTAAAATTGACCCCAATAGAATTAGAAAGCTTAACTAGAACAATTTCCATAGACAAAATAGAGTAAATTATTAAGGAAATAATACTTTAGTCCATGAAAAAGCATCAGGACCAGATGATTTCACGGGGGAATTCTAGTAAACCTTCCAACACCAGATAGCCTCAATGCTCTCTTAAACTCTTCCAGAGCCAGTATATTACACACAAAAAAATATCAAGCCTACAGAAACACCAACCGTTGGAAGAAGATGAACTAGCCAAAGAGACCTAAAGGTGCAACTTTGAGGAAGGAGGAAACCCTGGAGCACAGAATCTCAGAAACTAAAAAAGGACCCTTTTCACGGATGGTACCCAAAGTGAAGGAGGAACCTCCTGCCGCTCCCAACGCCCAAGCCAAAGCAACCGTTTTGAGAGCAAAGAACACAGTACTGAGAGGTTTCCACAGCCACACAAAGAAATCAGCATGTCACGTACCTTCTAACCTCACCCATCTTCTGGCGCCAAAGACACTGTGGCTCCGGCTCTGAAGGCTGCCTAAGTATCCTCCAAGGAGCGCCCCCAGGCAAAACTAGCCTGACCACTAAGCCATCACCAAGACCACCCCGCCCTCATCTACAGAGTGAGCCAGGAAGAAAACAATCCGCCTTCAACTACGGAGTGAGCCAGGAAGAAGACAACAACAATCCACCTGTGTTCATTGTGGAGGTCATGGCCAATAAGTACCAGATCAAACAGGCTGTGAAGAAGCTCTGTGACACTGACATGGCCACAGTTAACACCCCGATCAGGCCTGATGGGGAGAAGAAGGCACATGTTTGACAGGCTCCTGACTATGATGCTTCGGACATTGCCAACAAAACTGGGATCATCTAACCTGAATCCACCTGGCTAATTCTAAATATGAAAATTTTACACTAAAAAAAAAAAAGAAACTAAGGAAGGATAGAGGTGGAAGAGGGTGTAAGGGGATAAATGGTAATGGAAAAAAATACAGTAAATAATAAACTATTAAACTTTTAAAAAGGATGTTTCAAGAAAGGAGACTTTAATGTCAAAAGCTGCGTAGAGACCCAATAAAAGGAATGAAAAATGTAAGCAGAAACAACTGAAATAGCATAAACAATAAAAATATTTTAAAATAAAAAAGAAAAATGTGACCACATGGATTCAGTAGAAGGTAAGGAGACTGAGAAAGTCAATTAATTCCTTCTAACAGTCTAGCTGGAAGGGGAGGAAAGAAATTGGGTTGCTTCTGGATGATAGGGGTCTAGGGAGTAGGTTGATTGTTGATAAGGAGGGACTATATATGCCTGGCACTGAGGATATACTGTAGAATGACAGTAATAATAGAGATGCCTCTAGGTCCAATTAGCTTAATGTTTCCTTGATTCCTTATTATCCCTTCCAAATAATACAGTCAATTTCTCCCAATGTTCCACATTTACATATTACCTCCTTCAATGGTCCAAACTGAATTTTTATCAGCAGTCCCATTTTATGTTAATTGAGCAAACAGTGACTGCTCAGGGGCTGGGCATACAAGTTTGGGAAAGACTTAGTTTATTTCCTGGAGATGCTAAGTGTTCAGCAGATAACAAAGATCACAGAAGTGCCAGTACTGTGTTACAACTACTGTCTCATTTAACCTTCACGTGTCTTTGAGAAAACTGGTATTATCTCCATTTCAGAGGTGAAGAAACCAAGCCTCAAAAAGATTAATCAATCTGCTCCAATGAAGGACCTGAAACTAAAGTCCACGTTCTAACACTTCCACACCTTGCACCCCCACCTTCAGAAAAATGACCCTGAAGGGACTGTCCGGTCATTTCATAAATGCTCAATCACTAGAAATGGACTTCAGCACACTCCAGAATAGTTGAATCCTGCATCACATCTAAAATTCAGAAAGCAGCTTTTATGCCCACTAACTGCCTGGACATTCTAGAAATGGTAGGATACAAAGACTAAGTTTTATTTACCTTGATCCCAAGGATTATGTTTTATTTAGCTTTATTATATCTGTTCTCCTCAGTTTTATATATAGTGCTTTTAAATATTTTTTCCTTCATATTATGCTAAGTGAAAAAAGCCAGTTGGTGAAAGACAAATACCATATGATCTCAGCTATAAGTGGAATCTCTTCAACAAAATAAACTAACGAACAAAATAAACCACAGGCATGGAAGCATGGAGCAGACTGAAAGTGACCAGAGGGGATGGGGAAAGAGGACACTGGTAAAAAGAAGGGGAGGGGACTAGGCAAAGAACATGTATGGATGACCCGTGGACATGGACAACAGAGTGGGAATTGACTGTGGGAGTGGGGTGGGGTGGGGTGGGGTGGGTGGAGGGGGGTAAAGGGGGAAAAATCGAGACAGCTGTAATAGAATAAACATGATTTAAAAATTTAAAAAAAGAAATATTTTCTCCTTCAACATTTGTGTAGATTCATTCATTCACCTAATTTTATAACTGGTATCATTTTTAATATAATCTGGGGCAGCAGCATAAAACTTTTTAAAACTTCAAATCTCCTACTCACTCTATGATGCCTTTGCCTCACCTAGATAAACTTTCTTTATTAAACTGGTAAAGGTGGAACGAAAGATGAGAAACTGAAATGCTATCAACAAATAAGAGGAAAAAAGGATAGTTAGAGAAGACATTTGCACATGTTTGGAGAGAAAAACAGAAAAGGGCAAAAGTGTTTCTATAAGAATCCTTTAAATGTTGCCTTTAGCTAGGGTGTAGAAAAGCACATTTACAGATTGTTGGTGGAAGTGCGAAACAGTACATCCTTTCCAGAGGGAGACTGAGCAATTCACATAAAAACCCCAACAATTCTATCATCTAGGAATGTACACTAAGAAAGTAATCACGGATATGCGGACTTTACATTTCTCCAACTATGTATTTAAGTAGTGAAAAATGTGAAATAGCCCACTAAATAAATTACTATGGTCACGTAAGGGCATGCTATGTAGTCAGGAAAAAAAAAAAAAAAAAAAAAAAAAAAGGCTACCAAAGAGTATCCGCTTTAAAACAATTCAGACACTCATGGCTGCATAGTAAAAGACTGGAGGCTTTATACTTAGTGCTACCATATTCACAACTGTTTTCTGGAACAGTGTATCTTATTTGTAATCATTTGTATATTTTACACTGTTTCTAATAAGACGTTTTAAGGTTTGTAGGAGGTGTGTGTGGAACAGAGGGGCCTTCGAAAGAACATCTTAGTAGCCATTTTAAAAATAACATTAAAAAAATAAAGCACTACTATACCATTACCATTAAAATAGCATTGAATTACACTGTACGCCGAAACGTGCTATTAACCAATGTCAACGTTTTTAAAATAACATTAAAAAATAAAGTACTACTATACCATTACCATTAAAATACCATTGAATTATGTTGTACACTGAAACTTGTTATTAACCAATGTCATCTCAATTTAAAAAATACCGTTGAAAAATAAAACACTCATGAATCCACACCCAAACCTATTCTTTTCAAATCCCAGTCTTTTATTCCAACGAGTTCGAATTCAGAAAAACGCTACAACGGTTGCCTGGCCAGAAGTCTGACAGACGTTCCCTATTCCTACCTGTAGTTTTTACTTTTGTTCCAGAAAAGCAAAGCATCACCTAAGGGACAGCTCTAACAGCGCCTCGGTAGGAAAATATTTGGGAGGGTAAGTTTCTCTCCCATTTCGTTCCTTCCCTCCCTCCCGACAGGACAATCCTAACAGGGACTGGCCCAGTTTCTTACTACACCCTAGGGAAGCACAGGAGATGAAACCGATTTTCAGTGTACGTTTCTAAAAAGACAAGTTAAACTCTCCAGGGTAAAGAGCAGCCTGCACTACTCATTCTGGATGAAGATGCCCCGGCGCGGCAGTAGTGCCCCTGGAGAAGGACAAAGCGGGGGCTCCTCCGCTTGGGTTGCTGAGGCAACGCGTTAGCGACCGCATCACAGACAAGGGCACCGTCCCCGGACACTGCTCCCTCAGTCCTCATGTCAGACACTCCCAACCACCAGGACCGCATGCCCAAGGACGGGGGAGGGTAGGGGCCATGGCAGCAGGTGGCCGGATCGCGGAGCCTAAGGGAAGGCATCCGCCCGATGGCCAGAGATAGTGGCAGGGAAAAAAACGGTCGCCCGGGAGCCCGTGCCCCGATGCCTCATCCTCCCCACTGCCCCACCCGCCAACCCAAGAACCGCCCCTCCGGGGTGATGGACACGCCCTCCCAGTGGGTCGGAGCCTCCACGCCCCCTCCGCCCTGCTCGGCTACTGACCCATCCGGGAGGTCCAGGTACCAGCGTCCGCTGCTGCCGCCACCGCAGCGCAACCGCTGCGCCACCGCCGCCCCCTCAGGCCTCGCCCCTAACAGAGCAACGTTCTGCGTTCGGCGTTCCAAAGCCTCAGCACCAGTAGCCGGCCCGCGAGACCGGAACCACTTCCTTCTGCAACCGCCGTGCCCCGCCCTGGCCCCGCCCACTGCCCGCAAGCTCTAGCTTTCCCAGCCAGCGCGACTGCGCCCCCTGTCGGCCATTCCTGTCTCTACCGTTCTGTCCAGAGCGCGTGCGCCGTCTGCCTACCGGTCCTCTGAAGAAAGGACCGCACCGGGCGTTGCAGGTGCTTGGATCCTAGGGGCTGGAGCTCACTCCTCAGTCAAGGACAGGAGCTTGGTCCCGTAGGCCTTCCAGCCCCTGGCTTGGCCCTCAAAGCCCTTCCAGAGCCATCCCACCTGAACATGCATCTCTGTGGCCTCTCTCCCTGCCTACTCAATCTGTAACCATTTCCCCATGGCCTCAAATTAAACTTCTACCCGAACAAACAAAACCTCCCCTCTGGACCTCCCCAAATAAGTTAATGATACCAACACCTCTGCACTGTAAATTTGAAATACTGACTTATTTTTGTCTGTTGTCTTGATTTTTCGCCTCCTACACTCCATCCACAAGCCCTAAGGGTAGTATGTCCCTCTCTCTTGGAGCTTTCTCACTTGCCACTTTAATATTCTTTTTACTTCTTGCAGGGTCCACTGTCATCGACTTAGTACAATAGTTTTCCTCTCCTTCTGAATTCCTGCCATCATCCAGATGAGTCCAACACTCATGACTGAGCTGTTTCCTTAACTTCCTCAACCCAGATGACTTACCTCTACTTTCTCCACCCATTCGCAGACATATATGCTAGAATACCTAGACATTCATCGCTTTATACTGCTCCATCTCGAAAACCTTAAGTTTACAAATCCCATTTATTTGGACTCACAATCCCCATCCTTGCGGTCCTGTCTCTCCCTTAGGCCCAATGTACTTACTCTTCAAACACCCCTGAGCTCTGACATCCCCTGAGCCTTCTACCTGACATAAGCCCAAGAGCTTTGACTTCAACCACTTTTGTAAGCACGGCCCCTTGAATTGCCCTATCACCTATTGTAACGTCAAACCACTATCTTAAAATACTCAAGTTATCTGTACCTTCCATTCCTACATCTATGTTTCCAAGCACTGCTTGGGAGGAAAAAGCCACACAATTATAACAGAATGATGCCACGGCAAATTTATGGACACCCACCACTGCGGAGTGTCTTGGTGCCTCTTAGGAATCGTCTTATGTGACCTCTTTCATTTCCAGTAATTACTGTTACTAACCCTTACCACACACTCTCTTCACACCCCATACCAATGATCATTTTCCTCTCTTCATACACAATTTTACTTCCTGCTTTGCAGAGAAAATTCCTTAGCATAGTATATAAGGCCTTTCATTAGCTGTTTCCCACCTCTCGACCCCCTCTCCTCCTTGTATTCAATGCTCTGGCTATACTGAAATGTTTGCACTTTAAGAGGAATACTACTTCTGTTTCTATGTGGTTGCACATATTGTCCTTTCTGTCTGGTTAAGAGGTGTGAGACCTTTTAGTCTACATATATATGGCTTCAGTTCAAGGTTTTCTTCCATTTTATTTACAAGAATTGTCTCTGCTCCATTTGATGTGGTCTCTCTTTTTAGGAAAAGCAGTTTGTGGTAGTTCTATCTTTTTTTTTTTTGGCTATTCTGGCAGAACTCAAATTTGCTTTTAATATTACCAGTAAGGTTACCCAAAGCATTATTTCTGCCTCTGTTTTTTAAAAGATTTTATTTATTTATTTATTTCTAGAGAGAGGGGAAGGGAAGGAAAAAGAGAAGGGAGAGAAACATCAAGGTGTGGTTGCCTCCCATGTACCCCCTACTGGGGACCTGGCCGGCAACTCAGGCATGTGCCCTAACTGGGAATCGTACCAGCGACCGTTTGGTTAGCAGGCTGGCACTCAGTCCTCTAAGCCACACCAGCCAGGGCTCTGCCTCTGTTTTTACTTAAATTCTATTAGTGAGATTTTTGTTTCTTTGTGTTGGTTGCTTCCCCTCCCCTCTTCAATTCATCCTATTGACTTTCCATCTCATCCTTTCATTTCCTTAAGAATTTCTTTCTTTTTTTTAAAGATCTTATTTCTTTTTATTTTCAGAGAGAGGGGAAAGGGAAGGAGAAAGAGAGGGAGAGAAACATCGACATGTGACAGAAACATCAATCCACTGCCTCTTGCCTCTCACCCGCCCCCAACCACGAACCTGGCCCGCAACTGGTGTGGCTCAGTGGGTTGGGTTTCGTCCCACAAACTGAGAGCTCGCTGGTTCAGTTCCTGACCAGGGCAGCACATGGCTGGGTTGCAGGCCAGGTCCCCGGTTGAGAGTGTGTGAGCTGCAACCAATTGATGTTTCCCTTGTACATGGGTGTTTCTCTGTCTGTCTGTCTGTCTTTCTCCTTCCTTTCCCCCTCTAAAAATAAATACAATCTTTAAAAAAAAAAAAACAGTTTCTTGTGATCCTAGAGGGTCTCTATTGCCTTTAGCTTAAAATAATTCACATGCTAAAAATGGCACATCTTGGGGAGGCCTGTTCTGAACCCCTTTAGTCACATAGCTCTTGGTGTGTATATGAATAGCGTACACACACACACATCTATACATAGAACAAGCCTAAGAGAAATGGACTATTATCTGCCTTTCCATTTATTTTATTTTTCTTTGACTTTTCATGCACAGCTAAATCTGCTGTAAAATGCCGAGTATGGTCAATACAGCATTCTGTATTAGTAAGAATATATTATGCTACAATAGCAATCCCAAAATCTCACTGGCTTATACCAACAAATATTTATTTCTCACAAGTCCATCATGGGTCAGCTTTGGTTCTTTTGTCTGGGCCACAGGCTGAAGCAATAGACCTTATCTGAGACATTATTGGTGTTATATCAGAAAAAAGGGAGCAGGGAACTTCCAGTCAAGATGGAGGCAGAGGCAGGCATGCTTTGCCTCCTTGTGCAATCACAAAAAGAATTACAACTAAATCTCAAAACAACACCCAGGACTGTCAGAAAATCGAACTGTATGGAAGTCTGACGACCAAGGATTTAGAGAAGCTGCATTCATCCAGACGGATAGGAGGGGCAGAGATGTGGAGACGGTGGAGAGGCGAGGAGGTGTGGCATTGAGAGGTGGAGGTGGTGGAACAGGCATGGGCAGTCCCATGGTCATGTGTAGCGGATAAAAATTGGGAGGGATGCCTTGGGAGCAAGCAATCCCAGCCCCAGACTGACCAGACCACACAGACCAGGGTTCCAGCGCTGGGAAGATAAATATCCATAACTTCTGGATATAAAAACCAGTTGGGGTTGCGGAAGAAACGGCCAGATTTTCAGGAAACTCTGCTTAAAGGGCCCACACAGTCTTAAAACATGTACAAATCCACCCGCTCTGGGATTCAGCACCAGGTCAACAGTTGGAAGGGTGCCAGTAGTATATGGGGAGTGGGTGAAGTGACCGGAAGTAGGGTGAGTGCTGGGCAAACTCCCAGAAGCCAGGCAGCAGCACAGTCTCCCACCAACCCTCCCCCCACACAGCACCACAAATCGGTGAAGTGGGTTGCCCCACCCTGGTGATTACCTAACGCTCTGCCCCATACAAGCTATAGATTCCTTTACAGGGGGTCAAAGCAGCTCTACCTAATACACAGAAACATACATGGAGGCTGCCAAATTGAGGAGACAAAGAAATATAGCCCAAATGAAAGAACAGAACAAAACCCCAGAAAAAGAACTAAATGAAATGGAGATAGCCAACCTATCGGATGTAGAGTTCAAAACACTGGTCATCAGGATGCTCAAAGAACTCATTGAATATGGCAACCACATAAAGAAAGAAATGAAGGCTACATTAAGTGAAATAAAAATCTACAGGGAACTAACAATGAAGGGAAGGAAGCCTGGATTCAAATTACTGATTTGGAATGAAAGGAAGAAATAAACATTTAACCAGAACAGAAAGAAGAAACAAGAATTTAAAAAAAGAGGATAGTATAAGACTGTGGGACACCTTCAAATGTACCAACGTCTGAATCACAGGGATGCTAGAAGAAGAAGAGGAAGAGCAAGAAATTGAAAGCTTATTTGAAAAAATAATGAAGGAGAACTTCCCCAATCTGGTGAAGGAAATAGACATACATGTCCAGGAAACAGAGTCCCAAACAAGTTGGACCCAAAGAGGAGCACACCAGGACACATCATAATTAAAGTGCCAAAGGTTAAAAATAAAGAAAGAATCTTGAAAGCAGCAAGAGAAAAGCAGAGTTACCTACAAAGGAATTTCCATAAGACTGTCAGCTGATTTTCAAAATAGACTTTGGAGGAAGGAAGGGACTGGCAAGAAGTATTCAAAGTGATGAAGAGCTAGGATCTACAACCTAGATTACTCTATCCAGTGAAGCTATCATTTAGAATGGAAGGGCAGATAAAGTGCTTCCCAGACAAGGTAAAGCTAAAGGAGTTCATCGTCACCAAGCCATTACTATACAAAATGATAAAGGGACTTATTTAAGAAAAAGATAAAAAGCTATGAACATTAAATGGCAACAAACTCACAACTATCAACAACTGAACCTGAAACCAAAAAAAAACCCCACTAAGCAAACAGGTGGAACAGGAACAGAATCATATATATGGAGATCATTTGGAGGGTTATCAGGTGGGAGGGAGAGGGAGGAGAATGGGAGAAAAGGTACAGGGATGAAGAAGCATAATTGGCAGGTACAAAATAGAGAGGGGGAGGTTAAGAACAGTACAGGAAATGGAGAAGCTGAAGAACTTCCGTGCACGACCCATGGACAGGAACTAAGGCGGCAGGGGTTGCTGGAGGGATGGGGGTACTGGGCGGAGGGGGGCAAAGGGGAAAAAATTGGGACAACTTTAACAACGTAATAAAATAT